TCTTTCTTTCTTTCTTTCTTTCTTTCTTTCTTTCTTTCTTTCTTTCTTTCTTTCTCTAAATAAAGCTCTTTCAGAAGCCTCAGTCACAATTCTTGACTGTGTCATTTTGCCTCAGATGAAATGCTGAGTTTTATTTTACCTTTCTATGGATGGGAAAAGAAATCATTCCCATGATTCCCCCCTCCCTTCCTTAGTGAAATATGTAATATTTGTGCCTCTATGAGAAGTGCGCTGCAAGAAACAAAATAAGCTCTGCTCCAGAAATTGGTATCCTTCAACACAAGAGTTCAGTCAATCATAGTGATTTAAATGGATGGATCAAATTCATGTGCACCAAGATGATGTATAGAAATGGGGCTTTCCACTCAAAAGGTGGAGTGGGCTGCTGCAGGCTGAGGAACTTTACTTGGATGTAGGGCCTATTGTAATCGGTGCAGATGCAGGATCAAATCAGTGCCTTCGGCTAGTAAAATCCAAAACTACAATTACGTGCTTTTAGCATTGAACATTTTTAATCTTAAAAAAAAATTGCTACCTGCTAGGATGGATGAAATTAACATTTTGTTGGTTTCTTTATGTTCAGTTATACTTGTTTTCCCTTTGGTGCTACAATACAGAAAATTAGGAATTCAATTCTGGCAGCTTATAACTCTTGGTTTGCTTCTGAGTAGCCTCGGATTTGTCATCAAGGATATCATGGATTAAATTACTTTTGTAGCTATCCCTCCTTTATCCATGGGGAGAGCTGTAAGGTTATTTCTGGCAGCTGAATTTAAGATTAATAAACATCTGTTACACTATTTTAGTATGCTAAACACATTGTATATTTCTAAAATCCCCATTGGGAAAGGTATACAGCAATATAAACATTGTGTGTGGCTGATAAAGCAGCATTAATTACTAATTCCTTTTGATTATTTTTGTTCAGTTTCCAAATCATGGTTTTTCTTCTAGAAGCTTTAATAACTATTAATGGGAAAAATTGCTAGTAATGTTAATTTCCTATTACAATATAATGAATTTACTCATGGCTTTTAGAATGTTTGTTTCATGAAAAGCAATTCTTGCACAGAACTTTCCTACAGAAAAAACTGGGAGAATGGAAAAGAGACTTCATGAAAAGTATCATTGACTTTCTGCCATTCTGATGTTTTTAAAAACACGTGTGTACAGTTTAATGAACTCTTCCATGCTGGGTATCAGTGGCTTTGTAGATCTTTTATATTTTCAATAAAGATTATTCAATATTCTGAGCTGAAAAGTAGTTTCTTGTTTTCACTTAGTCATTGCTGCAAGGATATCACATGGGAAGCTGTTTTAATGTATTCCAACACAGAGTAGATGTTGTTTCAAATTCTACATGCAAGGAGAATTGCTAAAGGGAACAGCTTAAGTTAGAACTAGTTGTATGGATTAAGAATTGTGAGCTGGATCAATTAAATAAGGAACAGATTAAATCAATGTTACTTTAAAAAATACAAAAGAGATTTGATACCAGTGCATCAACAAAACAACTACAGGTAGTTCTCGACTTATGACCATTCGTTCAGTGACTCTTCGAAGTTGCAGCCGTCTCAGCACCCCCACAGTCACATGATCGCGATCTGGGTGCTTGGCAGCCCGTTCACATTTGCAACTGATTGCCAAGCGCCCCGCAATCATATGATTGCCATTTGCAACCTGCAGAAAGGGGAAGGTGGCAGGGAAGATTGCAAGTCATTGAGGTAAGTCTCCCCCACCCGTGCACCCTCCCCCAACCCCTCTGCTCCTGCACCATGCCAGGATTCTGACTGGGCAAGACAGGCTGAGGTACCTGGGGCACAGGCTGAAGGGTGTGATCCGGGATGAGCTTTAGCCATTGACTCCCAAGGAAATGAACAGGGTTCTTTGTTGTCAGCTCAGCCACCTGTTTACTGGGTCCAGGCCCCTCCTGGGTGGTTAAAGCCAGGAAGGTGATCCACAATTGGGTCCAAGCTGTGGTGTCAGCCTCTCTGAACCAAGGAGGTGGTACCTCCTGCCTTGAAAGTGGTGGTGGTGCACCCTCCCCTCAAGAGGTCATCCTTGGAACCAATAGTTTTTGAAAACTCCCTACCAGTCTCCAATTTTTCCTTTCTAATCCCTAGACCCATTTCAGAGATTTGGTACTGAGACAGCCTTGGCCACACTCATTAATGAGCTGTGGTGCTAGGATGGAGGTAATACATCTATGTGCTCCTTGATCTCTCAGCAGCTTTCCATACCATCAGCCACATTAACCTGAGTCAGCTCCATGGGTTGGGAATTGGCACCATTCCATGGTGGTTCTCTTCCTTTCTCCAGCTCCAGTTCCAGTTGGTGTTGGTTGTGAGTGGGAGAGATTGTTCCCTAGGTCCCTCCTTTGTGGGGTGCTGCAGCGTTCTATTCTCTCTCCCTTTTCAACATCTACATGAAACTACAAGATGAAGTGATCTGCTATCATCAGTACACTGATGATGCCCAACTATATATTTCAACCCTGGGCTGGCCAAGTGAGGCTACCAAGGTTCTGTCCCAGTGCTTGGAGGCTGTGTGGGTTTCGATGGGAAGAACCACCTCCAACTCAGTCTTACCAAGACCAAGTGGCAGTGGGTGTTTGGGCCACCCAGATCTGGGAATATTCATCTTTGACCTTGGATGGGGTAGCACTTCCCCTTTCAAAGTGGTACACAATCTGGGAGGCCTTCCTGGACTCACAGCTCCAGCTCAAAGAGCAGATGGCAAGAGTGGCCAGGAAGGCTTTTATACAACTTCATCTAGTGCTACAGTTATACCTTTTCCTACATCAGGGGCCCTTCAGGCTGTCCCTCATGCCCTGGTCACCTTGGGGTTTGAC